GTAGGCTTTCGAGCCTATACAGCTTGGAGTAAGACAACATGCATGAAGAGGATGATGTGGACAAAATACTCATTTGCCTAATAATTCTGCACTCCCTGTAGTGGAAAATGTGACTGAAGAAGAACTACTCAAGGCAAGATTCAAGGTCAACTGATCCAGCCCTAACTATATGCTTTATCAAAAACGAAGTTTTCAACCTAATCTTTGAAAGCAGGGAGGGTGTCTGTCTCCCAAATCTGTCCCCCACATATGAGGGTCCTGAAAGCTGAAGGCTCTGCCTCCTATTGTTCTTCTTCTAAAGGAAATTTATGCTGGTTACTATGAATGATGTGTGTATTTTGACCTGGTCTTTGACTCTACAGCTCCTTTATGTGGAAATACAACCTTCAACATACATAAGCATTTATGTTGTCAGTCAACTGTTGTTGCCAAACCTTCACCACAACACAGATGTTGTGATAAAGGTAAGCAGAGCTAATCAAAATACAAGTATTTCACTATAAAAAAGTATTTAAATGATCTGTTGTATGAGGAACATATAAAACCCATTTCCTTAAAAAAGTTTAACATTAACTTAATTATGCATAAAGAACACTATATGCATTTCATTTTCTAGTATCTGGTTCTTTTTCCACAGGGACATATGATGTGGAAAAGCAGCTGTGTTGTGGTCCAATTAACGATAAGAAGATCCTTGAAATGAACTCTACAGATCACCAGTGCTGTTATCATGACCAGTTCAACACAAAGACCGAGTGCTGCTGTTGGAAAAAGGAAAGTGCTGAAGTACAATTGAAGAATTCATCTTGCTGTTCAGAGGAGTCAGCTGTGCTTGAAGGTCAGAACTTGTCTAATACAATTTCATGCACATCTTAGAAATTACATTTGATATTCAACTGAATTTCAGTTGGCATTTTGTATCTTTGCAAAATTCTAGTTGGTGGAAAAAGGCTACATTTACTCCATGATATGGAGCTGTTGTTGTGATTTTGGGATGGCAGCATGGACTGCTAAATCCAATAATCAGAATCACAATACTTTATGACGGCTCGAGGAAATAATGTGGTCACAGTTGATCCAAGTCATTAACTAGTAACCAGAACAATAAAAAATCCTGAGCATTGTTCAGCAATTATTAACAGACTTCAGCCACCTCTGTCTCTTCCTGAAGAGTGCAGTGGTGTTTAGCCCAGTCTAGTTTATTGTCAATGTGTACTCTAAGGTATTTATACATACTATGTCCACATGGAGTCCCTGGATTGAAACAGGGGTCACAGGTTTCATAATCCTCCTAAAGTCCACAATCAATTCATTGGTCTTTGTAATGTTGAGCTCCAGATAATTCTGCTTGCACCACATAACAAAGGAGTCCATGTGTGGTCGAGTACCTGGTACTCTACGTCAATGTATCACCTTCACTGATGCATTCAACCACCGGAGACTCATCAGAAAACTTCTAAAGGTCTCTGTGCAGTGTCTCCCATCAATGGTGTAGAGGGTGAATAGCCCCAGTGTTGTTGATCATCTCGTCAGACACAGTTTTGAAGACACACATGAACCTTCAGCCAGGTAATCAGCAATCCAGGACACAAGAGAGGCATCTACCTGCATTGCTGTCAGCTTCTCACACAGGATGGTCAGCCTGATGGTACTGAATGCACTGAGGAAGTAAAAAAAACATGACCTTCACAATCCTTGCTGGCTGATTCAGATGGGCATAGACATGGTTGAGCAGGTAGATGACGGTGTTATCAGCTCCAAGACGGGGCTGGTAAGCGAATTGAAAGAGGTTCATATATGGAGCTGATCAAGGATGAGTCTTTCCAGGTTCTTGATGTGGTCACTGCCACCAGTCTACAATGACCAGAAAAATGGTTTGGTCATCAATTCAGTTCAGTGTTCTATATAGCATCAATTCATATCAACCTTTGTTTCAAGGCATGTTATGTTTAACCCACCATCATGGCAAAATGTGACATTGGGTCCACCATGTCCACTCGCAGTTTGCCTGTCCAATCGGTTGGGGTTATCAGGTTGCTATATTGCAAGGTAAAGAACCTATAATATTAGAAAGAACCCCCAACAATTACACATTATCCTATAAGCAAGCACTTGGCAACAGTGGTACTTTTACCAGGAAGAGCTCTGTAGCAGAGCCAGACTCATGGGAGGCACCCATCCGCCACAACTGGTTGGGGTGAGGGGATAGAGAAGAGAGAAAGCCAGAGTTTAATAATTACTAATGATTAAATGGTAGTAGTGTATTAAGGATTAAAATGGAAAATGAGAGATAAAGATGAATGGAGGGCAGTTAGTGAACCAGGGAATGCAGACTGGTAAGGAGGAAGTGAAGATAGCTATGAAGAAGGGGAGCTCAGGTAAAACAAAGGATGACAAGCAGATAGTCTGAAAAGGAACTGAAGGAAGCACACCCTAAATATACACACAAGGTAATGAGGGAAATGCACAACAGATAGGAGACACAGCTGAACCTAATTAGACGTGGTGAGACAGGGAGACTTAAGGAACTAGAAACACAGAAACTGAGAGACTAGCAATGATAAATCATGAGGAAATCAAAGATTAACAAGAATAACACAAAACACAGAACACTGGGCCACCATCCCAGAGCCATAACTCCTTTAGATGTATGGAGGTGTCTAGGGTAGAGGGCAGCGGGGTTTTTTTTTTTTAAACAGACTGACAGTATGATCCTAGAGAGTGATTGGAGGCCTGAGGAAAGGATAAGAAGTGGATAGGCACTAATTTTCAAGAACAAAGGTAAACCACAACCATTAAATAGCAACTACAGAAGGATAAAGTTGATGAGCTATATCATCTAGCTGTGGAAAAGAGGTTAAGAGGAGAGGTGATGATCAGTGAGCTGCAGTTATTGCTTCGTGCCAAAAAAAGCAGGGATCCGCTCTTAGCTCCTTCTTGGTGGCCATGGTTATAGACAGGACAACAGGTCAGCCTGAGTTCAGGCAGTGCTGTGAAATATGTGCTCTGTAGTGAGAGAGTGAGGAAAAGAGGCTGGAGACTTGGAGTTATGTCCTGGAAAACAGATGTTAGGTAGGATGGAGTGGGTGTCATGTCAATGAAAGACATTCCTCAGTTCATTTAAAACAAAAGTTACATTCAGGAGAAAACAAAAAAAATGTTACAAACCAGATGAGAAGGCATTTTACAAAGTTAAATCTTTGAAATCTGTTTTAGACCTAAAGCTAAATGGGTCTTGCATTTTAAAAACTTAAAAATTAGTTCTGTCAAAAAATTGTGCTTACTCAACTTTTTAGTAGCAAATGTAATGTTTGAAAAAACTGTTTGTTTTTTTTAATACATTCCTACCACCAGAGTGAATAAGGCTGAAGTCACTTAATGGTCCAAATACATTATCTCAGAAAATCTTATAGATCAATAGTCAAGATGGGAGTTAGAGTTGAAAAATCCAGCTTTATTTGTTTTCTTCTTGATAGCACAGGTGTTTTTTATATCGAGATAAGTTAATGAATTTACTGTGTAGTGCACCTCTTTCTTTTTCTGTTTATGAGAGTCAATATTGCTCATCCAAGAGTCTCTCTTTCCTTGTCATCTATGTGACAGTAATCATCCAAATAACAGCATTTATGTGATTTATTTGATTGTTTTATAGTCTTTATTACTATAGGCTTTACTGGGCCTCACAAACCACATAACAATAATATGGCATATGCTGTTTTCTTAATTTATAAATGTGCATGTAGCCACTTAAATAGAAGCAGTAGCATTCCAACATTAACTTACAAGGCCCAGTCAAAATGTCTGGTACCATCCAAAGGGTGTATAGTGTAAACTAGGGATGGGAAGTCACAGTGTTTTCTTGCTGGGTTTGGTTTCAGATTCATTTATACTGAATTCCTACATGCAGTGCACAAGAATGGCAAAGATGGATGTGTTTATTATGTTATTTTGGCAAAAACAAATTTAAAAACAGAACAAAAGACCGCAAATCCTCTGAGTCATCTTTTCCATAGATAATTCATCCCCAAATGTTCCCATCTACCCTTTCCACCCTCACACCCCTCCTTAGGTCAAAGCAATTCCAAGGTGGGAAACCAAGTCTGCTGTGATGGCTGTTCATCTGTGCAGAAGCCTTGGATCAATCAAGTAATGCACTCAATACATTGTTTGCTTTTCCCAGGCCTGCCCAGCTGGCTGACTTTTTTCTATTAATGCAAGTCAAAATGCTTAATCTCTAGAAAAATCTAATTGTTTCCAGTGAAGGCTATGAGCTCTAAGCACTGTTTTCAGCTTTCAGCTCTTTTGCTTTTGCTTACAGAAAAAGGAAGAATATAATAAGTCCATTCTGGCAAGATTTTTAATGAGATAATTGATTAGAAAGAATTCTGGATAGCACAGGTCCAGAATTAAAGGTAAATTTGAGCAGGATTCAATTGCTGCAAAGAACAATACAATGTAGAGTTAACGGCAGTCGAACCCAGTGATCCCAGTGGAAAAAAAGAGTTGTTTTTGTACCACTTTGATGAGAAAGCTCGGAGCTCCACCCCGCTCCTTTTACACGGTTACTCAGGGTGTTTTCTATCTGATATATAGGATGTTTCTGCATTGCTGCACATTACTGTTTTATTTCTGATTCTTCAAGTGCTGTGGGGACACACCGTTTGGCTCAGCACAACGTGGAGTTCTCTGTTGTAACAACACCTTGTACGAGAACAGAAATGATGGAGAGGAATGTTCAGAGACGGGTATTCCTTATGACCCAACTAAAGGGACCATATGTTGCTCTCAGTTTCATGGCAGCCCGGGACAACACTGCTGTGGGACAGAAATTTACCAGCCTGATGCTGAGATCTGCTGTAACGGACACAGGTGAGTGTGTGTGTGTGTGTGTGTGTGTGTGTGTGTGTGTGTGTGTGTGTGTGTGTGTG